TGTCAAATTGGTATATATTATTATTTATTATGATAATAACATAAAATTTGATCTCACTTCCCCGTCATCACCTAGTATAAATATGAGAAGGAACACATCAAAAGAAACCTTAAAAATGGCAAACAATGTTGGGCAAGGACAGGAAGAGGAGCAGCAACAAATTCCTCTGCTCACACCCTATAAAATGGGAAACTTTCACTTATCTCACAGGTAAACAATTCCATATTTCCATTCCTTCTAGGAACTGTAATAATTTTCATATTTTTTTTTACCACATTTGTTCATGTCAATAATGTTTCATATATATATATATATATATATATATATATATATATATATATATATATATATATATATATATATATATATATATATATACACACACACATACAGAATTGTTTTGGCACCCCTGACAAGGCAGAGATCTTACAACGCCATTCCTCAACCCCATGCTGCTTTGTATTACTCTCAGAGAACCACAAAAGGAGGTCTTCTAATAGCAGAAGGCACATCAATTTCTGACACTGCCCAAGGGTAATTTCGCTCACTTAACCCACTTTTGGTACCATAAGTGTTGAGAGAGTCCCACCCGCAACCATTATCTAGGGTGTGCACAGGATAAATCCTGTCATGTAACCCTATCCGGCAAAAGACTACAAGGAGGTAAACTAGAGGTTGCCCATAGCTTACCTAGCCTTATGATTACCAAATCAATAGCATGATTACGTCTTGTGGCCTAGTTGATAAAGGACTACAAGGAGGTTAATCAATCACGGTTGCCCATAACTAACCTAGTCTTGTGGTTACCAAGTTCTGACCAACTTGTTTGTGATTACAATGTGGTAAATTAAATTAGCTTAGGTTGTCCATCCCTAATCAGCTCAAACCAAGAAGGTCAATAGGCCGCTTCCACTAAGAGTAGAATTTGTAACCTTGTAGTTATCACGTCAATAGTCAGACCAATTCGATTTGAGTTGACCCCATATTTATAGTATTTTGGTTAGACTTTTAGTGTTGATTTGGCTCCCGGTTTGACATTGAGTTGCAGATATCTTGATACACCTGGTATATGGACAAAGGAGCAAGTTGAAGCCTGGAAACCTATTGTAGATGCAGTACATGCTAAAGGTGGCATCTTTTTCTGCCAGATTGGGCATGTTGGCAGAGTCTCAAATACAGGTAATCTTGGCTACATGGCATTTTGTTGTCTGTTGTTAAGAGTCCATATCAAAAGATAAGATAAAAATATGGGTTTATAAGGTCCCTTTGGCCTATAACATGATATCAGAGCTTGTTCAGCTGAACATGTCACGCAAAGCTTTATACAACTATCAGTTTTCTGCAGATTTTCAGCCCAATGGACAAGCACCCATCTCCAGCACCGATAAGCCATTAACTCCCCAAAATCAAGCACAGTTTACTCCTCCACGACGGCTAAGGGCAGATGAAATCCCTCAAGTCATCAATGATTTCAGGCTTGCTGCAAGAAATGCAATCCAAGCTGGTAAGTTTTGATCGGAAAACTCTACAATTTTACCTGTCTGATATGATAACCATATGGTTTGTTCATTGTATAGGTTTTGATGGAGTGGAGATCCATGGGGCTCATGGCTTTCTAATAGATCAGTTCTTGAAAGATGGAGTGAATGATCGAACAGACGAATATGGAGGGTGTCTGCGAAACCGTTGCAGATTCGCTTTGGAAGTGGTTGAAGGTGTTGCAGATGAGATTGGAGGGGAGAGGGTGGGGATAAGGCTTTCTCCCTTTGCTAACTATATGGAATGTGGAGACTCAAATCCAAATGGTTTGGGGGTTTTCATGGCTGAATCCTTGAATAAGTATGGCATTCTGTACTGCCATATGGTTGAGCCAAGAATGAAAACAGTTTGGGAGAAGAGTGACTGCGGCCTTGACAGTCTTTTGCCAATGAGAAGGGCATTCAAGGGCACTTTTTTGGTTGCTGGTGGCTATGGCAGGGAGGATGGGATCGAGGCTGTGGCCGAAAATCGAGGTGATCTCGTCGTCTATGGCCGCTTATTCTTGTCCAACCCCGATTTACCAAAGCGATTCGAACTCAATGCTTCTCTCAACAAGTATGACAGAGACACGTTTTATACCTCAGACCCTATTATTGGCTATACTGATTATCCATTTCTTGAAACCACTGCTTGATATGATCCCAAATGTTGGCATCACAACTCTTAGTTGTATCCGATACTATTGAGCACCAGGATATGTATTAAAAATTTATAATATAGCAGAGACACACTGTCTTAGTGTCTCTATCTTACATCGATCTTGTTATTGGCTGCTATGTTTCGGGAGCCTACTAAAGTAAAGCTTATAAAGTTATTTCGAGTTGATCAACCAGTTGAGTTGTTCTCCACCTTTTAATAATTATATTAAGGGAAAATCAACGATTTGATCCCCGAAAATAATTGTTTTTAGTCGATTTAGTCCTTCCGGTCGTAGTCCGTCAACAAGTCGGTGAGAGCTCCGATTTACCATGGGCAATTTGGTCTTTTCACGCCATCTTCTTCATCCACTCTGGCCAAGCTTCGCCGGAAACGCTCTTCGCCAGGAAAATGGAGCCTAGTGTATCTATCACCAGATCAGCCGCTGAGCCCGTCAGTTCTGCTAGGTACGGTGGTCCGTCGTGTGCTGGAGAAGCTCGAGCTCGCCGGAGGGAGCTCCATCTCTTTTGCTCGTTGGAAGGAGCTCACCGCCGGGAAAAAAAAAAAAAAAAAAAAAAAAAAAACGACCTGAGCCGTCCCATTCTGATCGACAGGCGATCGCGACATAGTGCCGAGGTCTCCAGTCGCGACCGCTGTCCGAGCTCCACCATCAGCCACGATAGGCTGTCGAACTGTGTCCTAACCAGTAGGGCATGGAGTGCCGGCCCCGTCGACACTCTCACAATCGGCTGAAGCCTTAACCGACTCTGTATCTGCCCGGGAGTTCCCCGGAGACGCAACTGCCTCTAACAATTCTGGAAGCCGGCGATCATCAAATTGGTTGGTGAATTGTGATCGTAACATATCCCACAGATTATCCCCTCCTTCGATTGCCCATGCAACACCTCCACTGCTGGAGAATCCTCTAGGGTGACTCGGACCACCCGACTTCGCAACCGCCAGCTGCTCTTCAATTCGACCATGGTGATCACTCCGCTGAGGCTCTAGGGGGTCGAGAGGGGCCATCGCTGGCGTTGACTAAAAACAATTATTTTCGAAAATCAAATCAATGAATAAACGATTGAGGGATTACATTATCATTTTGCTAATAATTGAGAAATCAAATTGTTAATTTTCCTTATGATTGATGTTGTCTGTTAGGCTGTTAGTATTAATTATGATGCAAACTTTAAGGCCCATAATTTCATTAAACCCCACCTGACAACAGGCATGATGTATTTGTAATCTAATAATTGACCTCCATATCTTTCATTGACAATAGCCGTGACGTATTTGGTGTGTTATAAAATGTAGTAAATGATTTGCCATCGTTGTCTGCCTGGGGTAAAAAAGGGCGGCTCTATAGGGATGGTGTAAGAGTTAAATCACGATATTTTAGTGATTTTTAGGTGAAAGAACTAATGCTGAGTAATTATAAGGAGCTACTCCATATGAGAGTGAAATTCTCATATATATTATATTTAAGTCAGGGTCGCTATCCGAATGTGCACTATGGGTGAAACTAACCTTGTGATCTTAGCCAGGCTAGATTATATTGTTCATAGTTGACCAGCTCAAACCAAGAAAATCAATAGACCATCGCTACAGGGAGTCGAACTTAAAGTCTTGTGGTTATAAAATCAATTGTCTTTTTTTATCACCTTATAGCAGAGATGTGTTAATAAAGTGATTTGTGACAGAACATAATCGATTTTCAACGTAATTTTTTTTTTTTTAAAGAAAGTATTTTACTAGTAGTGTGTTATCCATCTAAATTAAAATTATTTTTTTTACTAATACAATTTGGATATTTAATGGTATTAATTAAAATATAAAATAAAGGATTAATTGAATTATGATTTTATTTTCCGCGGCCGCTAAAGTCAAAAGTGGTTAGAATATAAATACGTCGTTGGTGAACAATGAAGGCTATTTGTACATGGGCAGAAAACCAAATATGATTTGTCCTTAACATTTGTTTTGTAAGGATTCCACGATTGAGTGATTTAGACCCGCAAGGTTCCAAAGTGTAGGGAAAATGACTCCAATAATATTTGAAAATAGAATAGGATGGCTTTTGAATAGGGAGGTTTATATGGTGAAGTTTTTAATGGAGATTATGGTGATGTGATCTGTAGTCAATTAATCGATGAGATCAATAGAGTCATCAGTAACGCGTTTTTTCGACATAGACTGAACGAAGATCCTTAGTGTCGTAGCTATTATTATTATTATTATTATTATTATTATTATTATTATTATTAGCTTGAAATTCGAGTTTATTCATTTCTTCATTGGTCCGAGTCAAATTTCAAGCTCTTGAGCTTCATTTTTTGAGTGGCACTTCTATTAGCATGGTCGAGCTTCATGAGGTTTTCCCCTTTAACCATGGCGAATGCGAATGCGCTACAGAGGAGATCAGAGAAGAGAGAGGACATATGTGTTTTAAGGTTAATTCACTATTTTATCATTTAATTTAACTGCCTTTGGACATATTTTGTAATAGAGGATCAAATTGAGTGTGATTTTAAAGTCAGAGGATCAAATTAAGTAAATTTTAAAGTCAATGATTAAATTAAACAATACTCAGTAGTTCAAAATGAGTATTAACTCTAAACATAAGAGTACACATAACATTTGAATCAAAGTCCAATTAGTAAACCCTGTCAAATTGGCATATCATGATTTTTGGATATACCCAGAATTTCTATCGTCAAATACAATGACTAATTCCCTGGTTGAATTGAATTGACATATCATGATAATAACATAATATTTGATCTCACTTCCCTGTCATCACCTCGTATAAATATAAGAAGGAAATGCATGTGACAGACAGCAAAAGAAACCTTAAAAATGGCAAACAATGTCGGCCAAGGACAAGAAGAGGAGCAGCAACAAATTCCTCTGCTCACACCCTATAAAATGGGAAACTTTCACTTATCTCACAGGTAAACAATTCCTTCTTGCAACTGTAATAATTTTCCTAATTTTTTTTTTACCACATTTCTTCATGTCAATGTTTCATATATACTACACAGAATTGTTTTGGCACCCCTGACAAGGCAGAGATCTTACAACACCATTCCTCAGCCCCATGCTGCTTTGTATTACTCTCAGAGAACCACGAAAGGGGGTCTTCTAATAACAGAAGCCACTGGAGTTTCTGACACTGCCCAAGGGTAATTTCACTCACTTAACCCACTTTTAATTGGTACCATTCATGTTGAGAGAGTCCCACCCGCAACCATTACTTAGGGTTAGGGTGTGCACGAGATAAATCTTGTCGTCACGTGACCTTAGCAGACAAAAGATTAGACAACCTAGGTTGCTCATAGTTTATCTGGCCTTATAATTATCAAATTAATAGCATGATTACGCATTGTGACGCTAGCTGGCAAAGGACTGCAAGGAGGTAAATCAGTCAAGGTTGTCCATAGCGCAGCTAACCTAGCCTTGTGGTTATCGAGTTCTGACCACCTTGTTTGTGGTAACAATGAAGTAAATTAGCCTAGGTTGTCTATAGCTAATCGACTCAAACCAAGAAGGCCAATAGGCCCTTCCACTAATAGTAGAATTTGTAACCTTGTAGTTATCATGTCAATAGTCTGACCAATTCGATTTGAGTTGACCCCATATTTATAGTATTTTGGTTAATTTTGTTGAATTTGGAAGATGGAATGGCCTGGCCGGTGGAGAATAACACTACCCGTGACCCGCCAGTTAGGCGGAAGTAATGTGAAGAATCAAGGACTAGGAAATGTGTATAAAACTGAAATTATATTGGTATTCTTTTTGTTTCTAATACAGAAACACAGTACATATATATACACAAATACATAATTATAAGTAACTATCCATAACTACGCATAACTGACACCTATTCATAAACAGACACAACCCTATAAATAAACCTAACTCTTTAGTTTTCAACAAATTTGACATTGAGTTGCAGATATCCTGATACACCTGGTATATGGACAAAGGAGCAAATTGAAGCCTGGAAACCTATTGTAGATGCAGTACATGCTAAAGGTGGCATCTTTTTCTGCCAGATTTGGCATGTTGGCAGAGTCTCAAGTATAGGTAATCTTGGCTAGTAGCTCGAATCAATAAATCCAATAATTAGATAAGATTAATCTGAAACTGAAAGGGCCAATCAACATCCCTACTAAGCTTCAAATCAATGGAGATTGTATGATATGAGCTGAACATGTCACAAAAAGTTGTGCAGATTTTCAGCCTAATGGACAGCCACCTATCTCCAGCACAGACAAGGCATTGAGCAAAGACGCCATTGATGTTGGGCAGTTTATACGTACACCTCCACGGCGGCTAAGGACAGATGAAATCCCCCAAATCATCAGCCATTTCAGGCTGGCAGCAAGGAATGCCATGGAAGCTGGTATGTTAGTTTAATCTACATTTTTTCTTGCACGCCACATGTTTGTTGAAATGTCTGTTCACTGCGGCCACAGGTTTCGATGGCGTGGAGATCCATGGGGCTCATGGCTACCTAATAGACCAGTTCTTGAAAGACCAAGCCAACGACAGAACGGACCAGTACGGCGGCTCTCTGCAGAACCGGTGCCGATTCGCTCTGGAAATCGTCGAAGCTGTGGCGGATGAGATCGGAGCTGAGAGGGTGGGGATAAGGCTTTCTCCCTTTTCCGATTACTTGGAATGTGGAGACTCAAATCCAAACGCTTTGGGGGTTTTCATGGCGGAATCGTTGAACAAGTATGGCGTTCTGTACTGCCATATGATTGAGCCCAGAATGAAGAAGCTCTGGGAGAAGAGCGATGGCCCGCAGAGTCTTCTGCCTATGAGGAAGGCGTTCAATGGCGCTTTTTTGGTGGCTGGCGGCTATGCCGACCGGGAAGATGGGATCTCGGCCGTGGCCGGAAACCGGGCCGATCTAGTGGTTTATGGCCGCGTGTTCTTAGCCAACCCGGATTTGCCAAAGAGGTTCCAGCTCAATGCCCCTCTCAACAAGTATAATCGAGACACGTTCTATATTCCTGACCCTGTTATTGGCTACACCGACTATCCATTTCTCGAAAGTCCGGCTCGATAATTATGATTCTCCGTCTTGAACATAATATATGTGCAATCTAATTATCGGTTGAATAAAAGATTAGAGGTTTATGAGTGAAAAAGTTTGGTTGGGTAATATGTATTTAGGAACCGTTTGAAAAATCATTCTGGTCAATGAAAAATGTCTTTCTAGATTTTTTGCCCGAGAGACATTTATTGAATTCTTTATTTTCCTCTATTTATCTTTTCTTGCATCTCTTCTCAATCTAGTTTATAGTTTATTATTATCACTACCACCACCATACAACCACAATCACCACCACAATCACCACCACTACACAACCACTATCACTACCACCGTCACCACCACTACACCACTACTATAATAATAATAATAATAATAACAATAATAATAATTATTATTATTATTATTATTATATCTTCAATAATAATAATTATTATTATTTTATAACAAATAATATGTTAATTTTTAAGAAAATGAACCAAAAAGAAAAAATTTAATTTTTTAACTTTTGGCCAAACAAAAACAGATGGTTTTATGACCTTCAATCAAATATTAAAAAATTAAATTATTTTTTGAAAAATGAGTTATTTTCTGAAAAACATTTTCAGATTTTCAAACGAACGTTTAGTCTAGTTTGTATCTTTCTATTTTTAAATAATTCCGAGAAAAGACTAACGGTCGTTACTAAAGGTACACTCTAAGCGAAATCGACCATAAGGCGGTAAATCAACCTAAGTTATCTATAGTTGATCGTCTCAAACCAAAACGATCACTAAATAGCTCCATGGCTTTATGATTCCCTAGCTAACTCTCTAGCCAACTCCAATACCTTCGACGGTTGAGAGATGTGAAGAGCCAAGATGAGGAATTTGAGTGAAATAATGAGATGCAATGCAATTTTCCAGCAGACAAAATATAGGAATCTGCAGAGTGTTGTGCTTTGATGATGTGACTCTGAATTCTTTTGAAATGGCATTTCTTTTGTTATGGCTTTAATTGATACCTTGTACCACCCAAAAAAAGAACCATTTTGATACCATAGTAGTGATCTTGTAATGCCCATGCATATTATAAACATAGATTCTCCTAAACTTGTGTCATGTGATTATTGGGCTGGAGCAAAGCATTAGTGGGCCACACCATTGAAGACTGATATAGGAAATGAGGAATAGGGATCGCAACGGGGCGGGGGCGGGGGCGGGGAGTATACTCTCCGTCCCCGTCTCCGTCTCCGCGACCCCAACCCCCTCCCCGTTCCCGGCGGGGAATTGAAAAAATTTCTCATCCCCGTCCCTACGGGAAATTTGACGGGGACGGAGAATCCCCATCCCCGGTCAACCCATAGTCGAAAATAATACAATTTTTAAAAATAAAAAATAAAAAAATTGAAATTCATAAGTCCTAATATACTTATTTTAAAAACTATAGTTCTTCAAAAGTTAACATTCAACTAATTTACTAACATACGAACTAACGAAGTTCAAATTCCAATTCGAAATAGCAAATGCAAATTAAACTAAAAATAGTTCAAATGTCCAATGTTCAAAAGTAAGTCTAAATCTCTAATCAACACAATTACAATTTATAATAAAAAATACAATAATACTCCGTAGGTGTTACTGTCTGTCTGTGTTAGGGAGTTTAGAATTAGGGTTTGATTGTTTCATACTTTCATTGTTTGAATAGTTGAATACTAATTAACTAAAACTAATTAACTAAATAACTAATAAACTAATAATCTAATTCCTAATCCCTAATATAATATATAATATATATAATATATATAATATATAATATATTTTAATTTTTGGGGACGGGGCGGAGCGGGGAGGGGTATCCCCGTCCCCGGCGGGGAATTTAAAAAGTTCCCCATCCCCATCCTCGATCCCCGAAATTTTTTTCCGTCCCCGTCCCCATCCCCATCCCCTACGGGGACGGGGAACATTGCCATCCCTAATGAGGAAAATGAACTTTAAACTTTTAGTTATTAAGTCAATGATTAACTAATTTGATTGAAATTGTCCTAATACTTTGGGTTAGTTTTCAATTTAGCATTCAAGTAAGAAAATCTAGGTCAGTTAGTGCCAAATAAAATGTAAACGGTGATCTGATTGACAGTAAAAGTTATTAGAGCTGAGTGACCAAAATCCACCTATTTAACTGTACAAAGAACTAATTTTACATTTAGAACTTGTTGATGACTAGAATGATTAAACCTAAATAACTGAGGAACTAAAGTTACATTTTTATGAAAAGTCATTCTTGTAATGGATATAATCATATGAGAACCACTCCTCATGTGAGAACTTGTGGACAAATCCAAACCATTGATCTGCAAGATCTGATAGATAGAAAATCAAGTAAAAAATGAGTGAGGTCTTTTTCATAAATATTATAAATTTTTAAAATAAGCAAGGCCATTTTCATAAATATTATAAAATTTTGTTCATTTTTAACCGCTAGATTTACTAGATCAATGGTTTGGATTTGTTCACAGATTCTCACCTGATTATATATATATATATATATATATATATATATATATATATATATATATATATATATATATATATATATATATATATATATATATATATATATATATATATATATATATATATATATATATATACCCGTATAGTTCAAAATATTTTGAATTTTGGAATATTTGTGAAATTGGATATGATCTTTCATAAGATGCTGATTTAATTTGGCTAAGTATTCTTGCACAAGTTGCATGCCATATTGTCATCCAATGTTTCAATTTATGATTGGTGCTTATGCTTTGGAGAGGTCATTTCTATGCTTTTCATTCAACACCTTACCATTAGCCAACCAAATAATACAAATTTTTTATTTAAAAATTATTTAATATTATGGATTTATGGGATCTAATTAACTTTAGCATTTTCACCCTTTAATTTGCATCCATTTGCTTATTGGCAATAGATTTTGGAATCTTTATGTTGCATGTCACAAATTACACAACATATCTTGGATATTATATAACGAGTGTGACAATACAATTATCATAATATAAGCACAAGTATTTTATATATTATTTTTTAATCGAACTCTAATGGACTAAATACAATCAATATGACACAACTCTCAAGTTAAAATAAATAAATACCTTCAAAGCAGGGTCCCTCTTCCCCGGGCCTCTCTCATGTAAGAGGGCATGTGGGCTATACAACAGGTCTTGGTGTGTCAATTTTATCTCTTTAACTAAAGAAACATATTTGTGTTCTAGTAAGAATTCTATTTAACATGATATGTAGTAGTTTTCAAAAAAAAAAAAAAAAAAACATGATATGTAGTTGATGGTTTTAGGGTTTTCAGGCCCAAGGAGGTCCAACACAACCTTTGGCTGGAGGGCGCACCTTTCAATAAAAATGTACGCCTAACTCAGAAATAATGCTAGTACTAGGAATCTTTTCGGTATTCTCCCTTCTCTGGGTGTTCAGTCGTCTGTCCTCTTACAAGAATGGAGGAGCCTTTATATAGCGGCTCCTCCTCTACCGACTTGAAGGCCCTTAATGGCCGAGTTTAAGACTAATTAAGATATGGAGCCGTTGGACGCCATTACTCGGTCGACCAACGGCTCTTCCCGGTTTGTAACAGCCTGACCGGGTCCTGTTTTCAATGCCCTAACGGCTCCCTTTTTAAACAAGCCTCTTCAATGCTCTCAACGGCTCCTCGAACCGAATCTTCTCCTGGTCTTGGGCCTTGGTCGACTTCTCGTCTCGGCCCGAATTTCCACTGGGCTCCTCTTCAGCAGCTTCGATCCAGACCCCGTGCCTGGGCTTGGGCCAACTCCCGGACTCGGCCCAATTGCTCTTCGGGCTCCTCTTCGACGCTGACCCACTTCTCCTATCTATTTTCTCTGGGCCCCTATCTTTTGGGCCGGGGTCCTTACCCCATCAACTAGTCCCTCACTTTTCCATACCCGGTCCGCTAGCCTGGGTTTGGAAAAGTAGCAACTGTCCATCTCCTTCCATCACCGTATCCGTGCCCTGAATAGCCCCTTATAACGTCCGGATCGTCAGCCATTCTCTCCGGATCTCGCGGAGCCGTTTGGATTCTTCTGTCTAGGCTTGGCACCTATAAATGGCCTCTTCCCTTCTCTCTTACCTTCACAAGTCCATCATGGGTCGTTCTCCTCTGAAAGGAAAACGAATTGACTTTGGGTCTCCTTGGCGTCCGCTGCCTTCCAAGCGGACTCGGCCTGAAAGGGAACACAAAAAGAAGACTCCTCGCCCGGCTTCTCAGAGGTCTCCTGTCGGTGCTGCTTCTTCAGCTTCTCAGCCGCCGACCCCTCCTCGACGTGAGGTCGCTCCGCCTTCACGCCATCCGCCTACGCCCACAACTGCCCGAGTGACTTCTCAAGACGGGTCCTTCGTTGAGGTGGCGGTTCCAGAACAACTTACTTTCAAAATGACTTTCTCAATCCCGCTGGAAGACCTGGATGGGCCGGTTACGGGCCTAATGGATGATGAGGATTACGCCCGCTACCTGGAGGCGTATCCGAATGATGAGGAGCCAATTGCGCCACCACTCATGCCAGCTTTTTGGGACTCGTTCTGCCCATCCCCACCTGGACCATCGGGGGGATTCTTTGGGGGCGACTCTTCCTCACCTGGCGAGTGATCGTATGTTCCGGAGTCGGCCATAGCTCGGAGGAATCTCTTTTAGGAGCATTTTCATATCCCTTATTGTAATAAGCTCCTTGCCATTTGTACCCTCCTTCTTTATGATAATAATAAGAAATGCTATTTTCGCCTTGCCTTATGTTTTGTCGTGTACGTCTCCTGATGACTGGTCAAGGAGTCGGTCGCACTGTCAAACTTTTCCAGTCTGACACCTGCAAGATTCCCCGTATCCCGGGTGAACCTAATCTCTTCTGTATGGCGTGCGAATCTACCGCTTCTCGGGCGGATTTGATGGAACTAATCTCTGACAGAGATTCGCGCCTTCCGTCCCATCCGGCCTAGTAACGTCAGTTACGATTTCTTCCGTGATTAGCGCCTGGGTACCCGTTCCCTTTGGGCTATATAAGACTTCCTCATGGTTTTTGCAAATCACAATTCCTTTCATTTTCTCAATCGCATAACTATGAGCTTCAGGGACGGTGGTCGCCGCTGGTCCATCCGCAACCAAGAGCACGCTCGGCTGGAGGAGTTGGAGCGGAAGCGGCGGGCAAACGGAGGTCACCTGGTGGGCGACTCAGCCTCGGACCCAATCATCGTGTCCCCGGACATGCTGGACCTGATGCCTGTGGAGCCAATCAGCGCGGAGATGGAGCCGGTGGCTAAGGATCCCGGACCGGAGGTCGGGAATCCGGCTCCAGAGGAGGAAGAGGTGTGGGAGGCTCCTCCGCTTTTCGACGTCGCCATGTCGCCAAGTGCTTTGGAGAGGCATCTGCAAATGATTGATGATGGGAAACCGGCCGTGTATCTGGATGAGATGCCGGAGCCTGAGCCGAGTCCTTTACCATTCTGCCCTCAGTACTTCCTGGAGGGCCCTCCGACTGCTCGCCCGTCGACAGAGAAAGAAGCTAAGCCTTGACCCATTTTTCTCTTGTAATTTGCATCGGCCGAGCTCTGGGCCTTGTAATCTTCGTACTAATTAAATAAACTATGTGTTTTTTTTGTCCGACCCCACATTTTCTTATTATCTGGTCGCCCGACCTCTGGTCCGTGGGACCGATTCCTAGCCTCGTTATGGCGAGACCCTCCTGGCGAGGGAGTCGCCGAGTCTGCTTGTCGACCCGACCGGTTGACATCCTTCGATGAGTCGGGTTCTACCGGGTCGTTCTAGAAGCTTCCAGCTCGCATCTCGTGGGCCCCGAGGCCATGGCCCACTACAGGCTTCCGGCTTAGCAGGCCGGGTCACTGACGTTCGGCCCTAGCCTAGGGCAGACGCGCCGTCTGTAGGCTAACCCTAGGCCTGAACCGTCACCCCGCCTTTTGAGGCATTAAATGCGGCGTCCCTTCAAATCCCGTCACCTCCACTTCCTCTAATGAGAAGGTGGCACGTGGCCGTCCTTTGAAGTTCCTCCCCCTTTAAATGGCCATTTCGTTTCTCCTCTCCTCCTCTTCTTCAATCTCTCATTTCAACCTCCGTTCAAGCTCCTCCGATTATTCTGCATTTCTCCGGCCTCGTTTCCAACTTTAGGTAATGTCTACTTCTTCGCATTCTTCCTCTTCTCGCCATTACTCCGTTGACAATCCGGCGGCGACGTCGCCGTCGTCCTCGTCTTCTTCCTCCGTTATTCGTCGCCTGGACGCTCCGGCGGGTCTACCGGCGGCGTCTTCTTCCCAACCGACCCCCTCTTCTTCGGGGGCGGCTACTCCGATGAGCCCTGCCCCTTTAACTACGGTGGCGGCTCTGCCGGACGGCGCCCGGCGGCCGCGCAGCAAATTTGACTCTATTGTCCGGCCGACCGGGCTTCCGTCGTGTGCCACGGACGGCGCCAGTGATGGTTTTAGGGTTTTCAGGCCCAAGGAGGTCCAACACAACCTTTGGCTGGAGGGCGCACCTTTCAATAAAAATGTACGCCTAACTCTGAGATAATGCTAGTACTCGGAATCTTTTCGGTATTCTCCCTTCTCTGGGTGTTCAGTCGTCTGTCCTCTTACAAGAATGGAGGAGCCTTTATATAGCGGCTCCTCCTCTACCGACTTGAAGGCCCTTAATGGCTGAGTTTAAGACTAATTAAGATATGGAGCCGTTGGACGCCATTACTCGGTCGACCAACGGCTCTTCCCGGTTTGTAACAGCCTGATCGGGTCCTGTTTTCAATGCCCTAACGGCTCCCTTTTTAAACAAGCCTCTTCAATGCTCTCAACGGCTCCTCGAACCGAATCTTCTCCTGGTCTTGGGCCTTGGTCGACTCCTCGTCTCGGCCCGAATTTCCACTGGGCTCCTCTTCAGCAGCTTCGATCCAGGCCCCGTGCTTGGGCTTGGGCCGACTCCCGGACTCGGCCCAATTGCTCTTCGGGCTCCTCTTCGACGCTGGCCCACTTCTCCTATCTATTTTCTCTGGACCCCTATCTTTTGGGCCGGGGTCCTTACCCCATCAGTAGTAATTGATTAACTATTAAATTAGGAATCTTTTAATTAGATAATAAATTAATCATAATGCCTCATGTATTCATCTACACAGAATTTTTACTGTAATAGTATCCTTAATTAAAAAAAAAAAATGTTGTTGTTGTTGAATAAAATGTTTGATTTGATTTCACCAAAAAAAAAATGTTTGATTTGACAAGATTCCTTCTTTATTTTTAGAATCAAGCTTTGTTTTTGCATTCAACATTATCATTTTCTTTCTATCTTTTTTATTTTATTAATATTATAATTTCAATAATATTATTATAATTATTGATAAACATATTATGTATACATGTACATAATCTATTAACTGTAAACACATAACATATTAACTGCAGAAACATAATTTTTGGACTAAGATTCACATGCTCAATGATATAACAATTGGCCCAAGACCACTTGGATCAAGGTGAACATGGATGGCAACTCCAAGTCTATAGCCAGCTAGGAAGATTTGTTTTGGAAACTAGTCGTGAATTGACTCTAAAACATAACCAATGGTCAAATATGTTGAGAGGGATGGTGAGTAAACTAGTGGAGGAATGTCGCTGATAGTTAGACAAGTCATGCATGGCAGATGGAACTTCATAAGCATCACAACAACCAATAACGAAATATTATGAGTAAATTAGAATTTTATTTAAGAATAAAATGAAATTAGTAATACCAAAAAAAAAAAAAAATGCTTTAAAGTGCCTTTTCATTGGACACACATCAACCGTGAACAAAACTGTGTGGCTGATGCTCTAGCAAAACTGGCCATGAACCATGACTTTGGACTCTTGTCCTTAACTGATCCACCTGATGAGATTATCACAGCTTTAGAACATGACTTAGCTGGCTTTCCTACCTGGCGTACGTAATATGAATAGTCCTTTGTAACCTTGCTCTAACTCTTTCGGGTATCCCCCTTCTCTTTCAATTTAAAAAAAAAAAAAAGCCTTTTCATTTTTTAATTTTTATTTTTGAAAAAAAAAAACGAGAAATTCATTAATCAAACACTCAAGTCATGAGTTACGGTAGAGGAAAAAAAAATCCTAAATCAGTCCATTTCTTTTCATTTTTAAGAGTTAAACGACTGTTTACCAAACACCCATCAGGCCATCACCTCATCAAAATTAATTAAAATTTGACTGTTTGAGCAAATTACTAAACACTTGCTATTTTTAAAACAATAATCGGAATATATATATATATATATATATATATATATATATATATATATATATATATATATATAATAAAGATGACAGCTTATTGGTTCATGATTATAGTTGTGGGATGCACATGAAAATCGAAAAAGCATTTCCACTAGCTACATATACATGCCGACTGCCCTTCAATTGTACGGATACATGCCGACTGACTTTCAATTGTACGGATACCCTACCGCTGCCCACAGAAAATTTCTACTCTTTTTTGGCTGATTTCGTTAAATATATACGCAGTACGAGGAATAAATATCAATTTTAATCTCACAAGTATTAGTAAAATAACTGTTTTAGTTCATATGTTTAATTTCTATCACAATTTTCATCCACGACTATTATTTTAGTTTCAAAATTCATCACGACGGTCACCCTTCCATTTAAGACATACCGAAATCTAAAAATTTTAAAGATATTTTTCTTCATTTTCAACTTAAAATTTCAATTTAAGCAATAAAAAAATTTAAACCCTAAAATCAATCTTAATTCGTAAATTAAATCTCCCTTCATCCTACTTTAATTTCATGGGGATCTTAATTTCTTTATCTTTATTATTATAAGATTAACATAAATCTATTCTTTTTATTATTATTTATGGATTGTTTGTATATGCAATTAAATTAATTAAAACTCCCTAATTTAGAGTAAGCCTTTAACAAAATCAACATTAATTGCCTTGATTATATTGTTATAGTTGGCATCCAATATCCCTTGTCCGTGAGATCTCAAATTAAATTTATGCCTTATTATCTCATGCATATGAGTTTGAATATGGGTCACACCATTATAAATCATTATTTAATTAGATACCAACAAATAATAGTCCATTCGCAAGGAACTAATACTATGCACATGTGAATGTGAATGCACTTTTACAAGTTCTGAGAGCATGCAACACCAATTATTCATGAATACATTATATCAAGTGTTTCCAAATATACTGTCATATTTACAAAAATATCACTAAATTTTTTTTTTTAACTTTCCGCCTTTAATCATTTAATTTCGGCATTCCCGCGAAACTACAAGTTCTAACATGATCCCAGTGCTGCTATATATATATAGTTTAAACTCAATCTTAGTTTCAATCAATTGAATCGGGGTTAAAATTTATAAAAATTAATCAGTTGAACTGAAACTCTAAGTTTCAAACTTGATCGAGTTTGCTTAAAGTCATCGTAACTATTTTGAGCTCGAACTTTGAGCATGACTCAACTCATTTACAGCCTAAAACAGAGAGTAATTTTTTTATTTTTTTTTTTAAATGAGGACATCAAATGTACTGATGTGTAAAGGTGTTTTTCCAACTATTAATTAATTAATTTAAAATAACTTGTGGGAATAATCACCAAAGGGGTTGCGGCATTATATGTAGTGTGTGTATATATATAAGCAAACAAACATTTTGGGAAGAAGATGAGTGAGTTGTTGTATCAAGCTGCAGCTATATACGGCAGCAAATTAGCGACACTGGAGCGCCGACAACCTGGAAGCTAGTCCATACTAGTGGAAGGTTGTCGTTGGTCTGCAACTCTGATCTTAAGAATCACAAATCTTAATAACTTGGACGAATTGAAGAAGAAGAAGTTTGGAAACGTATATATATATGGGTCGGGGGAAGACTGAGTTGAAGAGGATCTCGAATCCGGTGCACCGGCAGGTGACGTTCTGCAAACGCCGCGGCGGGCTGCTTAAGAAGGCCAAGGAGCTGTCGGTGCTGTGCGACGCCGAGGTCGCCGTCCTCGTTTTCTCAGCTCATGGGAAGCTCTACGACCTAGCCACTCAAGGGTTAGTAAGACCTGTTTGTAATCTTCCGGTACAAAAATCATGTTTCACCTATTCGGTCACTTCTTTTAGATGAAGTTTTTTTTTTTTTTTTGTTTAAAAAAAAAAAAAAAAAAAAAAAAAAAAAAAAAAAACTAAAATTGAGTATTGTAAACTATCTAGGCTATGTTTGGCAAACTTTGCTGAAATTAAAGCTGAAAAGCTATAAGCTAGAAACTGAAAATTGAAGAGCTGTTAACTAGCTGACAATGCTTAAAAGTGTTTAGTAAAATTAGTTTTTTGATAAGTTGATAAATATAAAAAGACTAAAAATGACATTTTCATAAAATTTAAATGATATGATTATTATATTGTGTTTATATTATTAAATATATGAGATATATTTTCCTTTCAAAAAAAATATGAGATATATTTAATTTATAAAAAAATGTTTTTGTTTTTAAAATGTATATGAGATATATATTAAATTAAAACAAAAGAAAAAAAATTTTAATTGGTAAGGGTAAAGGATGTCATTTATTTATGAACGGATGATTGTAGTTAGAATTTTAAAGGAGTTGCTGGGTAGTGAAGAGTTGCAGATGAGGATAAATAAAAATATAGAAAAAAAGAAAAGACCAAAATGGTTTTAATTGAAAAGGTAAAAGATGTCATTTATTTAAAATAAAAAGGATAAAGATGAAAAAAATGTTAAGAAGCTTCTAGCTTATTTTTAAAACGCTAAAGGCTCTGTTTGGCAACGATAAGCTAGGAGCTTATAGCTTATTTTAAGCTACTAATAAGCTATAAGCTCTGTTTGGTAATGTTCCCAAAATAAGCTCCTAGCTTCAAATAAGAGCTTATTTTGAAACGCTACTTTAGCGTTTCAAAATAAGCTACTAGCTTCCTAACTTTTTTTTTTCCATCTTTACCCTTATTATTTTAAAGTAATAACATATTTTAACCTTATGAATTAAAACTCTTTCTCTTCCCCTATACCAACTTTTACGTCAATCCCTTCATCTTTAGCTTATTATTATTATTATTATTATTATTATTATTATTATTATTATTATTATTATTATTATTATTTTTAAATTAGCAATATGGCTTCACGTCAATCCCTTCATCTTTATCTTCTTCTTATTATTATTATTATTATTATTATTATTATTATTATTATTAAATTAGCAATATGGCTTCAACCAATGATAATATTGCTACTTCATTATGGAATGCTAGATCATGATCATGCTAATAGTTTTATTTTAAAAATGTTTACTTTTTTTTTTTGGAAGACGAAATGTTAAATTTTAATATGTAAACAAACTAATTTAAATTTTATGAAGATGTCCTTTTTAGTCTTTTTACATTTATCAGCTTATCAAAAAGCTAATTTTACCAAACACTTTCAATCATAACAGCTAGCTTAACAGCTCTTCAATTTTCAGCTCCGAGCTTATAGCTTTTCAGCTTTCAGCTCCTTTTCAGCTATCAGCTCCTAGCTTATAGCTTTTCAGCTAGGTTTGCCAAACAGAGCCAAAGTAACTTTTCAAAATAAGCTTTAATTTTAAACTATTAACTTATTTTGAGAACATTACCAAACAGAGCTTATAACTTATTAGTAGCTTAAAATGAGCTTATAAGTTATAAGCTCTGACAAATCACTAGTCTAGTTTAACCAACATGCATGCTAGTATATATGACATAATTTTCTAACTTTTTTAAAAACAGATTTGATTAATTTCTAATAAGATTTTTTTTTTTTTGAATAAATAAATGAAAGAAACATGCAAGGGATGATCGACAAGTACGTGAACTTTACACGGGGAGCTCGGGTGACTGAAGTCAGTGAACAGGAACCCAGAGAAAAGCATGTTCAGGTAAATCTCTGTATATACTCTTTTTAATTAATTAATTTTAAAAATTTGCTTGAATCTTTTCTAAACAAATAGAAATAAATACCTGCAAATAGTAAAAAGCAATTTCGTGTTTAATTTATGTGAATATATGATCTTAGAATCAGATGCTATATACAATATTAATAACAAATAATAATAATAATAATAATAATAATAATAATAATAATAATAATAATAATAATAATAATAATAATAATAATAATAATAATAATAATAATAATAATAAATACTTGCCGATCTTTGAAACGAGACTTTGAAACAGTGTCTATTGAGTATGTTAGTCGATCAGTGAATAAGCTCGCTCATGCTTTAGCTCGAGCTGCAAGTTCTCTGATCATCTTTGTTGGTTTTCTACAATTCCATCTTGTATTGAACATTTAATCGTTTGATTTAATATAGTTGGTTACCTTTCAATAATAATAATAATAATAATAATAATAATAATAATAATAATAATAATAATAATAATTATTATTATTATTATTATTATTATTATTATTATTATTATTATTATTATTATTATTATTATTATTATTATTATTATTATTATTATTATTATTATTATTATTATTATTATTATTAGCAAAAGGAAATATGTGTGTCTTTGTCTTTTATTTATAAGTTTTAGTGGTAATTGAAATTATATTTCTCTAGTAATAATTACACATTAATATTCCTATGATAACAATGAATATTCATAATTTATTTATTAGGATGCAAAAGAGGAGATTAACATGCTGAAAAACGGAATTACAATACTCCAAGAGGGCCTAAGGTATATATTTTTCTCTCCATATTCAACTTCCAGGTAGTTTCGGGTGAAAATTACAAGTGCAATCGCTAATATGTAACTATATATTATTGTACCATTACATATCAGCGATTGCACTTATAATTATTGGTGCATACACTTTAAGTTTGAAATAGTTATCAAAATGTTACCATGTTTTTTATTTTTAACTTTATAGTCCGATCATCCTGCTAGATCAATTATTAAAATTAAACTACAATTTTTATCTAAGCGGAACTTCTCATTTGATCCAATACCTATATATATGCATGTGCCACTCATTTATATATGTGTATGTATATATGTATAACCTAGTTTAGTACATGTTATATTTTAGGTTCATGCATGGGGGAGGAATTGGAACAATGAGTATATATAAATTGGATGCACTTGAAAAGTATCTTGAAGGGTGGATGCATCATGTACGTTCAGCAAAGGTGAATTGAACTCTAATTGTCAAATTATTGTCTCACATTAATTATATAATTTACTTTTCTATTCATTTTTCACTACTCTAGTGATGATAGTTCATATTTACAATGAGTTACTAACTAATTTAGAGTCAAGTAATTACTATATTACTAAACTTTACATAGGGATCTATTTGTTTTTAATTTTTCAATAGTCATGCATGCAAAAGAAACATACTTTTAAACAAGAAAAATGTCGAGATATTAACAAGAATATTCTCAAATTTCTCAATCAAATACCACAAAGGAATTACTCTATGGCCCTGTTTGGTAAAAAATTGGCCTATAGGCCAATTTTGGCTTATTTGGCCACTATTAATTGTTTGATTTAGTAAAAATATCAATATAAATGTTTGGTTAATAAGCTTTTTGCAACTCCAAAATGCTAAAATTCAAAAAGCTACTCCAAGCAATTTTTTCAATTAGCTTTTTGAGAAAAGAAATTATACTAAACAACTATCAGCTAACAGCTAATTTACCAAACACTTTTCTACAATCAGCTAATGTTATCAACTATTTATACATTCTAATTAACAGAATCAGCTAACAGCAAACAGCTATCAGCTAACAAACATTTTACCAAACAGGGCCTATGTCTTATTATTCATTAGTTAAACTAGTTTTTTCTCTATTTGAGTTGATCAGCTATAGACAACCTAAACTGCTTTACCTTATTGTGGTCATTTTCTGGTTAAAGTCACAAGATGAACTTTTTTAGGTATAAAAGGAAAAAAAAAAAGTAAAATAATTTAAATTAATCAGAATCCTTAATTGAATATTGAACATACACTACCATGCAGATGGGTCTAATGTTTCAAGAGATACAGCTGCTGAAGAATAAGGTAAATCCCTATTTCTATTACAACATTAAAAATTATCATGACTACTTTTGATTTTATTATCTTTAATCAAATTTAATCTAAAAGTGTATTAAACCCAATGATTAATAATGTATTGATTATTTCTATTGTCCTTCTCTGATCTATATATAATTTTACTTCTTTGCAATAGGGTAGGTCTTGTATTAATTAATTAGACTGTATCATATGAAACATCACACGTGTAATACTTTATATTAACGTGATCAGGTCATCCATTTGAATATATCAATATTTGAGGGTTGTTGAGAAATAAAAGAAAAATTGACGGATCTATTTTATAAATATTACAAATTAAAAAGTTTACCGTAATTATAAAATTGATCATTTTTTTTTACTAAAATTTTCAACCATTGATGAATTTTGATCGACGACAATTATTCTCAATGCTCACTTTTTAGTTGTTTCGATTCTCTATTATAAGAAGGGACTCTAAGAGCAACAAACAAACACTTACAAGAAAAGGTAATATAATTATCAATACCATATTAGTTATGATTGTTTCATTACAAATTAGAATTTTCAGTCCACACTCTCATGTAGTGATTATGAATTTCACTCTTTATATATATATATATATATATATATATATATATATAATTGAGAATTTTCTTTTGATATATAGTTATATTTCATTGTTAATTATATAATTTGCAGGTGGATGAAGAACATCGCACGATGATAACAAGTATGTCATCAATTGTGACTGAGAATGATATTTTCATCATGCCCACATCCTGGACTGATTATTAATTGAATATTGTGGGGAGATAACACTTCCGGTGTCAATAATGTAATATTTTAACTTTTAATTATCGACTATTAAGTTTGCTAAATAATGTGGTCTCTTGAATATTTTAAGTCAACTAGATTCGTCAGTTTAAAATGCTCGAAATAATCTCATATGAAAAAAAGATTTAAAGTAAAAGTGAGAGCATTTCAAAAAATTTAAGCCAAATTTGGATAATTTGTGAGAGTCAAGGAACTAAAAGCGATCAAATAATATCAGCTATCAACTAATAGCTATTTACCAAACAGGGTCATTGCGTTTTGCAATAAAAATGTCGCTTATATAAACTAAAAATAAAATAAAATAAAACATCATTATATTAAAATAAATAGTTTGTTATTTTATTAATATTTGAAGCCAAATAACATTAATAATTGTCACGCATCACAAACGATTTGACAAGTACAAAGGCTTTGGTTTGCTCCAGCAGCAGAACATCTACAACGTTGAGGCATTTTGCTTGCTGGCCATTGAAATAATGCCAAATTTCCACAACTAATGTTCTCACATACATCATTTGCAGTAAAAGTTCCTGGGCAAAACTTAATTTGACCTTTAAAAAAAAAAAAAGAGGTGAAAATGGTTAAAACAAAACCAAAAATAAGTTATTATATTTTATGAATTAATTTAAAAATATTAAAATTTGAGAAAAAAAAAAAAAAAAAAAGTACCTAGAGAAGGATTAAGTAGAGTCAAGAAAATTGCCAAAGAAAGAATGGCAAGCACGCTGGAGTTCTTCATCATCTTTGCTATATGTTGCAACAACAATTACTTTTTTGAGAATGAAGGATTATATTATCTTTCACAAGATATTACCCTTTATATAGATCTTGAAAATAAACAATATTATTTTTTAAAATAAATTATCAGCTAAGATAATTACGGTAAGTTACATACTTAAATTATCAAATCGTTATCTACAAAAAGTGAAAACGTTCAATTAATTAAAGAGTTAAACCATTTACTGAATTAATGTTTATAGAAAGTAAAAACAGTTAATTAATTACATGATTAAAGCTAGCAAAGAATATTTGTATAATCTATCCAGTATAATTTCAGCGTGAATTCTGGATTGAGAGAACAAAAATAATATATTTCAAAGAAAAGGGAATTGAAGGGAATATATGTGTACTGAAATACTGATTCACATAATGAATAGAAACTATATTGCAATAAGAAATTCTATTTCAATGTTTCATTTGTGTATGTGTGTGTCTATATATATATATAATAGAGATCACATGCGGACCCATATGAAAGATGCGGTTGAATGATAGTCGTTGGTCTCACTAAAAAGGACCGTCCATTGCGGTGGGAATTTGGTCTTTTTATATTTAGGCCAGGTCAAACTTAAGGTGCGTGGTTTTGTGCTTAAGGTGCGTCAGTTGAGAACTTACTGTGCGTTTTTTGTTCCGATGATCCAGAGTACACCTCTGAGTAGCTGATATTGACTTTTTGTAAATTAAAAGATAAATGTATTTTGACAATATTAAAAAAAATTCCCTCTCATATATTTTAATTCAATAAGAATGTATGTGATCGCATCTTAATAACTATATATAAATATAAATACTTTATATATTTTTAAATAACTTTATATTACTAATTATATATTATTTATATATGTTATTTGTCTCTCTTGAATTCTATCACCTTCTAGTGTTTACCATCTAAGTGGTAATAAAATTATTTATATACATTGGTTGTTCATTAATTTATCAATCCTATCACGAGTTTAAAATAAAAAAGGAATTTACCCAATAATCAAATGCAAATAATATTCAATCAAATATTACCACACAAGAAGATGAATATTATAACGTAAATTTGAGATGAAAGTGTAGTGGTAATAACTTATTATTTGGGAAAGGGTTTTTAAAGTTTATGTATTAAACTTCATTGGTCAACAATAAATTCTATTTTTAAATTTTCAAAATAACTATTTATTTATTGTAATTTACCAACATATATCATAAAATTGTATCATCTATAAATTAAATTTGTTTAATTTGATACTATAACTATCATAATTGCACTTTTAAAATAATGATATTATCTTTTAGAGATTTTAATCTAAGAAGAATAATATTTTTAACTTAACAATATGAGAATAATTTATATATTTATAATAATTTTACTCTACATTTTATAATATGATTTTATATTTGAAATTAATTATGTTGCATTTAATTGTTTAAAAGAGGTCATCATAATCATATTCATTAATTTGACGATAATACTTTAGATTATACTTTCCAAAAAACTTTGAGTATGTGCATATACCATCACAACAAAAGGAACCCATCAACCTCAATTCATTTGGCTTAATCAAACAACACTTGTGTTATTTACATTTTGATTTTTCATGTAAAAATTATATGTTCTACTTTTATTTAAATTATATCACTTATTATCTAACACTTAGTGCTAATCTCTAACACCCTTAAGTCTAAAATCTAACAAAATCTGAACATAATTTAATTTACTCGAGAAGTCACCTGCTATTCACTAAATATTAAAATATTACAAATCTTTATTATCATGAATGTCTCAACAAGAAAAAAATTCACTGTCCCAACAAATGTTTATCATAAATGTCTCAACACGAAAAATATTGCAATATTGTGTTCTTAATAAAATTTTTGCTTATATAAACTAAAAATAAAATAAAATAAAACATCATTATATTAAAGTATTTTGTTATTTTATTAATATTTGAAGCCAAATAACAATAATAATTATCATACATCACAAATGATTTGACAAGTACAAAGGCTTTTGGTTGCTCCAGCAGCAGAACATCTACAACGTTGAGGCATTTTGCTTGCTGGCCATTGAAATAATGCCAAATTTCCACAACTAATGTTCTCACATACACCATTTGCAATAAAAGTTCCTGGGCAAAATTTCCATTCTCCTTTTTTTTAAAAGGTGAAAATGGTCGAAACAAAGCCAAACATAAGTTATTATATCTTATTAATTTAATTTACATTATTATATTAAAATTTGAAAAAAAAAAAAAAGTACCTAGGGAAGGGGTAAGTAGAGTCAAGAAAATTGCCAAAGAAAGAATGGCAAGCACGCTGTAGTTCTTCATCATCTTTGCTCTGTATATGTTGCAACAACAATTACTTTTTTGAGAATGAAGGATTATATTATCTTTCACAAGATATTACCCCTTATATAGATCTTGAAAATAAACAATAAACAATATTATTTTAAAAAATTATCGACTAAAGTAATTACGGTAGGTTACATATTTAAATTATCAAATTGTTATCTATAAAAAGTGAAAACGTTTAATTAATTAAAGAGTTAAAGCATTTACTGAATTAATGTTTATAAAAAATTAAAAAGTAAAAACAAGTAATTAATTACATGATTAAAGCTAGCAAAGAATATCTGTATAATCTATCTAGTGTTATTTCAAAAATTCAACATGACTTTTGTAGTGAGAGAATAAAAATAGTGTTTCAAAGAAAAGGTGGGAATATGCAAATAGTGGAATACTAATTCACATAATGAATAGAAACTATATCACAATAGGAAATTATCTATTTCAATGAGGACATATTTTTTCGTTGTGTTCATCACTTCTTAATTAATATATTCTTTCGTTGTGTTAGCTTTCAAAAAAAAATATAGAGTAATTAGTGAATGGACTATTAATATAATTTTAAGGTCAAATAATCGACTCTTGTAATAATGCGTTGAGCATTCCTCAACTAGTTTTGCATACGAGTCTAACACTATTGCATTCCCATCAATATCTGGGTCATGCCGATCAAATCACATCTCAAACAAATTATTATGTAGATCATGGTCCACACAATGTTGTGTGAACCATAAAAAAAAATACATTTTTAATAATAAAAGTATATTATTTGAATAGTGAATATACATTATACAAAGAGTTAAATCCAAGAATGGTCCCTTAACTATTGTTATTTACTAATTTTTATCCTTTGACTTTCAATTGAACCATAAATGGTCCATTGACTATTGATCTTTACCAAAACAAATACAAAAGCTGCATCCTCCTAGTGCAATATTTTAACAATAAGATTAAATTGCAGTCATTCATGCCAAGAGAATCCTTTGATTTTCCAAAAAGAATGATGAGAATTGGCATAATCTATAAACATGGAACAGAACCATACAAAGACCAAGGGAAGCAAGTTATGAATTTATGATCCTCATAGAACTTTATAGATTTCGAATGTAGCAGAGCAGTAAAAATGAGCAATAGTATGCCAACACACAAAAATTGCAGACAATTCCATACACAATAGTTACAGATACTTGGCAACTTCTTCAACTCACCCTACGCGTTTTTCCTTCTTGTCCCAAGCCTAGAGATTTTTGTGCATCTGCTATTCCATCAGGATCTGGCCAAACGAAAAATCAAATTAGAACGGCTGTGGAAATGATCGCCCCAACCAAGCTAGTCAGGATGTTGACTTGGTAATCCACGATGTTACAAGTTCGACTCCCAACGGGGGTGACCTATTGAGTTTGAGCTAGTCAGCTATGGGTAACCTAGGCTAGTTTACTTCCTTGTGATCCTTTGCCGGCTAGGGTCACAAGGCAAAGTTTACCCAATGCACACCCTCAGATACTGACTGCAAAAAAAAAAAAAAAAAAAAATGCAGCCAACCCCTAAAACTGGGGGAGAGTGGGTGTTATGAAACTGACTCGACTCTAAAGATCAACTAAGTTTTCGCAATAGTAATAAACAGCTAGCTAGTATTAGTAAGTTCTCCTTTGTCCTGGTGGCCAAAGAAAAAGGTCCGGTGTCTTTACATTTTCCCCAAACATGTATGTATAGTCAAAACAAATGGATAATAATCAATGGGTTGAAACTTACCAAAGAACTGTGTAAAGATGCGAGTAAAGAAGCTCAAGTTACGAGAAACATTGTATTGCATTCCCGATGGGAGAGGTTTAACAATGGTGTCAATGCTGAAAACACGTTGAAGAAACTGCAGAAGTGGAAATCTTATTAGATAAACTAATAGCCTGTCTCAAATGCAAAAATTGTCACACTAGTCACTACTCAACAAGATAAAAGAAATGGAAATACTAAATTTCATTACTAGCCAGTAGCCACCATACTGGCCACATGCAAGTCAGATTAGTTGTTATTATAATGTTTCCTGCTTTTGACAGGTAAGGATGGGCAAGTACAAATTAGATATTTCAAAGACGAAGAAAAATTCCATTGAACCAACAATTTAGGTGTCCTTTTTTTTAAGACATGGGCTGGACTTTAGGCAAACCAATCCCCATGGGTATATACCAAAAGATCCCATCAACAAATATCAAGGTACACTTCCGAACCATATGCCCAAGCGGGTATGGTTGCAAGTAATAAAACAGCATAGACCAAACCCTCAACGGTAAAATTAGGCCAACTTTGCTTGATGCTAGTTGACCAAGATCATTAGAATTCTTGTTATAAACAACAAACAATAATTAAAGTTATTGCAATATTCTTGCAACCATAACAATATTGCCAACACAGCGACTAGATTAAAGACTTTATTGAAAGAAAAGATACAGCCAGAGTACAAGATGTGCACAAGTACACACAACTTATGGACACATATATAGCTCCTTGGCTAGAAAACGGGTCTAAAAATAACGGACATCAAATCTCGAACAACATATCAGTGTTTGGCAAACATTGAGCAAGTGAGAAAAGTCAGAAAACTCCTCAACACACGTCTGAATTTATTTTTTTCAAAGACACAGTAGTGCAGATGTGTGCACACTGCACAACCATGTCCAACGCAAGGTGACAAGGTCGCAAGCCAGACAGTGATACTTGGTGAAAGAATTGGAGTCCATGTTTTCTAGGACTACCACTATAGTAGGCAACGGTTTTGAATGGCTAGTTTATAAAGTCGGAAGCCCTACAAATAAGAGGAAAATACAGGCATATTCTATTTGACCATAGATCTAGTATCTGCTCACAAAATGTGAGATTCAATATTGATATCTTTACCGTGACCCAAACCTTGCATGGCTACATCAAAGAATAGATCACTCTGCTAGATCATTTTGATTGGAAGTGTATGTACCAAATCTATATTCCTTCAGAAAATGATCTTGCATAAAATCTTTAATTAAGATACTCGAATTACATTTCTTGTTTTTGAGGCTTACAGAAGTGCCATATTTCTCATTTAAACGAAAAATGGAACAGCTCAAACATAGAACTCAATATTCTTGTTCAAAGTTATATATCTTGACCAACAACCATAACATGGCTAAAAACAACCGTCTTCTGTCATCTTCTTTAAGGTCACATGAGGGCAGCACAAAATGGAAGAAATTGATCAAACGTTAACTTTAAACAAACAAATTGAAAGGCCAGAAAAGAACACATGAACCCCAACACAACCAATTTGACTGTTCTGTTAATTAAAATTTGTTAAGGCACAATCTTTACTACTATGGAGCAATTACAGCATTACATGATTAACAAATTGTGCATCATTCAACTGAGCCCATGCCATTCTCAACAACAAGCAGAAAACCAACAATCCCAACCTCCCAAAATATATAATTTAATTTTTGACTCCAAGTGGGGGCGGCCTTCTTGAGCCGCTCAGCTACGGTAACCTAGGCTGGTTTAGCTCGATCCTTTGGGGTCACAATGCAGGGTAAACACACACACACACACATATATATATAGGGCCAGGTTCCCGTGCGGTCACTCACCATTAGGTACGCATAAATGCATCATTCAAAGTGTTCAGAAATGCACTATTAGGTGTGGTGCATTTTGTAGTACATTGGTGCATTTTTACATATCTAATGGTGAATCCGCACCAGCAGCATAGGAAACACAGTCCGCCGCATAGGAAACACAGTCCGCATTTAAACCAATATATATATATATATATATATATATATATATATATATATATATATATATATATATATATATATATATATAATTTACACGCAAACGAAGCCAAATAAGAAGAAATATATATTAGTTTGAGGTCAATCCAACTAAAACATTGTCCATTACGCATTAAACGTTGTACGTCTTCGGTAGAACAAACCAAACTACCATTCCAAATGAGAAAGCATAGAGACACCAAAACTACAACCGATCAAACTAGGTCAAATTTAGGCAGGAAAATCACACTTTTTCAATATATTCTCCATAAATGTATATATACATAAACATATGTAAATGAGGGGAGGGGGGAGACCTGGAAGTTGCGCTGGAAGCTGTAGCGTAGTTCAGGGTCAATTTCAGTGCGAGAATCGTCTTCGAGCTCACTGGCTTTGGATTTAACGGATTTCACTCCGGGGACGTGCATAGTGGGAGTCGAACCCGGCTGGCTCGTAACCTTCATCTTCGCGTCCTTGAACTTTTCGTCCTCTTCGGGGCCCACCCTCCATGGGGCCGACGTAAGAAGCTCCTTCTTGCCTTTCGCCATTTTCGAAGCTTCAATTCGCAGAGTGAACAGAGCGAGCGAAGAAGACGATGGAGCACAATAGCGAAGGCTCCAAATGGATAGGGAAGGAGAGACTTATCTCGGCGTTAATACGACGTCGCTCTATTTTTACTTTTATTTCATTTCAGCCCCGTGTTAAACATTATTAACAAAATCAACCCCCACGTTTCGTGGAGGTTGGGTTTCCAAAAGTAATTTGAAAAAAATGGCCCAAGCCCAATTAAAGAACTAAAGAGGCCCAATCCATTTTAGCAGGCAAATTATGCTGTGGAACCGCAGTTAACATAGAGTTGTGCATATAATTATGAACATATAATTCTGTAATTATGAATATAGAGATTCAATAATTGTGAATATAAAGTTCAAAAATTATGAATATATAGTTTTATAATTATAAACATGTAGTTCAGTAATTATGAACATAGAGTTCTGTATTATTTATAATTGTCCGCCTCAAACTAAAAATTGTATTATAATTGTGAGTTGTGACAAAAGACAAAAATTATAGGGTAGACACTAATGTAGGGTCTTCTTTTGTGGTTAAAGGATCTTCACCAAGTGGTAGGACTAAAGTACAATCTTCTCATACAGTTGAGCCAACCGACATTAGTACCAAAATTTATTGCAAGTAAATTAATCACAATTTTAATTTTAACAACTCTTTCCATATATTAGTGCAGTAAATTAATCACAATTTTAATTTTAACAACTCTTTCCCTGACTAATGGAGTATGAGGAAAACAATCACATTAATTAGCCTTGGGGTTATAAGAAACAATTGTTATACCATGAACCATAATCCACATTGTAAAATCAAGCATCGATACATATATGTTTATTTTTTGTACACATCATATTCATTTTTAGTATGTTCACTATATATCTTAATACAAGCTTATTTTTAGTGTACTGTGTAAAAAAAATGAACTTATAATATATTAAAAATAAATATGTATTCTTCCAAATATATATATATATATATATATATATATATATATATATATATATATATATGTATATGTATTAATTATCCACCTTACAATAATGCGGATTATGATCCATAATATAATTTGTGTATAAGAGATGGGTCCAACCTAATAGAGCATAAGAGTCTAGTTAAGAGCACAAGTAAGATTCACTTGTGCATGCAAGGGAAAGTCCAAGCCTTGAAACCAATTGAATAATTAAATATGTTTTATTATATTTGGAGTCTAATATATTATATATAAGAGAGATGACAAGAAAATTGAATATCATCACCAAGCGAAATAGAGAACCTCTATACATTATTGCATCAACAAAAGGAACATAACTTGTTTATATATCAAAAACTATCATTAGAAATTACTGAAAAAGATCATGAAAAAAATCCTCCACAAATTTTACAATACTGTGTGCTCTATAAAATTGTACCTTCCGCTTTACCAGAAGCACAAAGAAAAAAGTACAACCTGTAAAGCACAAAGTACAATGAGCCCCACAAAGCACCCAACATTATAACAAAATAACCCTCGGCCGTGTAAAATTTTTCCCAAATTATTTTAAATCCTCGGTAAATTTTACAATATCGTGTGCTTCTATCAATTCGTATGTACCTTTTACTTTACCAGAAGTACATAAGAAATGTACAACTTACAAAGCATAAGGTACAATTCTACAAACCACCCGATATTATAGATTTATAACCCTCGACACTGTAAAATTTCCGGCAAATTTGTTATCTATGTCGGTGGACAGAAAGGCCTACCGGCGCGAGCTTTATGGCTGGGAATGGTGAAATGTCGAATCCGTCCTTCTTGTTCGATCATGTACCCTTCGCAAAGAAAAGTTTTGGAGAATTTATCTTCCACAACCCTATCCACGTCGTGAACAAAGACGTCGGTTTCGCCGCCTTCCCGGTTCCGGGCGATGAGTCCGGCGGTGTAAATGGCGGCCATCCTCCCCGGCGCCTCGTCGTGGTACCCCGTCGGCGCGTCCACCATTATCAAATCCCACTCTATCTCGTACACCTCTTTGGGCAACCCCTTCAGAGCCAGCCGGCATTTCGACGTTCTTGGATCGCCGACGACCTGGCAATCGTCCCTCGCCCCTGTTTGCAAGAGCTCGTCCGCCTCAGTCACCTGTTGATGATTGAGATCATGTGTAAATAAAAATAAAAAAATTCAATCAAATTAGTCATAACTTAGTAATAAGACAAGAGCCTATTCTATTTTTTTTTTTTTTATTTAAACTTGTCAAGTATACACAACCTAGATGTTTATAACTCATAATGTACATAATTTACATTATATTATCTTAGATGTTTCATTATTCTAACACATAATGTACATTATTCTAACACATAAAATACATTATTTTTACTCATAATATTCATGATGTTATTTTCGACCATGATCCACGCAGCTATGGTCCACACAATAACTTGCCTTTTACCGGCTACACACTTCAAAGGCTCAAATAGTGGCGGTAGGTTTCTTGGTTACTCAAAAACTCAATAAAAATTGAAGATCAGAATCAAATTTATCATAGTACAACCCAAGTTAAATTAATCGGATTGTTCACTTAATAACCACAAATTTATACATTTCTCTCAATAAAAACGATTTATTGTCTTTTTTCGTTTGACTCATGGTGTAGACAACCTAAGCTGATTTAATTCTTTATGGTACATTATAAACTAATATGGATATCCTGGAATAGTGATTAGAAAATGTAAAATGTACGGCTGAAAATTACCTTAGTATCATAGGTGACATGGTAGGATTCGAGGGAGGGTAATTGCCGGTGAATCTGGTTGATCCAGGAGCGGTCCTCCTCCAGGAAGACGGTCCGGCCGCCGTGGTTGAGGGAGGTCCACATGAGGCTGTCGTGGCCGAGGCCGAAGACCAAGAAGTTGCAGGGGGACTTCTTCGCCAGCACCCTCATCGACACCGAGATTTCCTTCATCGTCTGCTGGGGAGTGATGTTGGTGGTCACGTAGTGCACCAGCGCCTCCGCCAGCGACGGCGGGATCTTATCGCAGCTCTGGGTTCGGCCGGGAGGGCACGCCGCGGCTGTGGTTGTCGGTTCTTGATTCTCCGGCGGTTCTTGATTTTCCGAGGGAGCTCGTGAGGAGGATGATGCATGGACTGACGGTGAAGAAGACGCCGCCGGCGAGAAAACTGATCTTGGGATTAGGAAGATCAAGAAAAGGAAGAAAAAGCAGATGAGAATGAGCTTGAAGTTGAGATTAATGGGGAATTGGGTTTTCGATCTCATTTTCTTCTGATCTTTCTCCCCCCAAAAAAAAAGATTTTGGTTTTTTTGGAAGGTTTTTTGAAGGAAGGAGAGAAAGAGATTGAAGAAATGGGGGGTTGATGGAGAACTTATAGTAGAAAGCGATGCCAATAATCAATTCACTATTGCTTATGATCTGCTAAAAGTACTTATTAAGAAATTCTAAGGTGCAGTTGTACTCTTAACAAATTCTTATAAGAAATTTGGAAGGATAATTATAAGGTTTTAATTTGGTTTTATGTCTTTCCAAAAAAAAAAAATTAAAAAATTAGCTTTTATGTGTTTATTAATCTTTTTAGTTTGAGTAAATTAATTATGAATAATTTTAAATTGATTTATTTTATTATTGTCCTTTGTCAATTAGGATTATCGATCACAAGCATGGTTGAAAAAATTGCTAGACGCTCGGGGGTGCCTAGCGCCTAAGGCGCCTAGACGGTGATTAATCGGTGCCGGTGTATTTTTATTTATTATTTTTTAAAAAAAATTGTTTAAAATTTTTAAACTTTTAAACACTTAATCATTATAAAATATTTAATATTTTAATAGTTAATACTAAAATATTAAATATTAACCTAAAAATCATCTAGAGTTTGAACAATTTAGGATTATTTCGCTCAAAATGATGTCATTTTGAGTGAAATAACTCATTTTAAAAAGAATGGAGCAATAGTTAATCGGCCAATTAGACAGCCTAAGAGGCCTAGGCGGTCAGCACCTAGGCGACGCTTAGGCGACTTAGTCGAACGCCTAAACCATCGATTATGGTGATACGCTAGGCGGTCAACAACGCCAAGCACCTAGGCGTCAATTAATTGGTATCTAGACCAGATTTTTACAACACTGATCACAATATGACATTCACCTGAAACACACATTCAGATCAGATTGTGATTGTAAATTTACTCGTAAATCAAAGAAATACTATTCATGAGTGTAAATGAGATAGCCTAGTTCCCTTTTCTCTAAATCATACTAAAAATTCAAGGTTATAAAAACAATTATTTTAAAATTCAAGGAGTGAGGTCGACATAGTAGATAAAATTACTCATACCTATCTATAATCAGACAAAAAAAATACTAAGTAGTACCAAATTCGTAGGTTAGGAGATTAGGACTTGGTAGTATTTATTATTAATTTATTATTATTGTTATTATTAAATATATTTTTTTGTCTTAAAAATGAAGCAATGGTAGGAGGAATGATGGGACAAGAAAACCAATGATGTAACTGATCGTGCAATACAATTTTGCCTTTCGTTTGGTGAGGACTAAACTGACCTAGTCTTGCATGTGTCACTTGTCACCATGTAATTACAAAATGATATGTATACTATCGGAAGTAAAAATACTCTTATCATTTAACATAGAAGTATTATGATGGATATTGATTATCAAACTAGATGAAATTTTAATTATATAACTACTTAATTATAATGTGTTATTATAAGGAGGTAGATGAAAAACGTAACATTGAAAAAAAAAATACAGAAATCAAGAGATCAGATACATACAAATTTGTTGAGAGGATTCGCTTAATTGAAATTAGAGGTGTCAAAGGGACATCAATCACCTTCCCGTCAACCACCTAGCTAGTCACCAATGTTGGGTTGCATTCCGTCGTAGTTTATCTGGCCTGGCAAAGACATCTACCACCATAAATTTTTTTACCCGTAATCACTATATGTGTAATAGGCTACAAACCACACTGATTAAATAAATCACATTATAAAGATAATGTGTAACAAAATTGAATTCATAAACTTCTAGATAATTATACTCCACCCCTCAACTACCATTTTTAAGGCATGTATCCTTTTCTTTGTACATTTACTTAAGGAGTATAGTTGGCAACATGGCATAGTCAAGTTATTTTGGTTCAATTACTGATTAATTAGATTTGATTAATAATTTTTGAATTATTCTATGTACAAGTGCCAACAATCAAGGAGTTGTTGGCGTATTAGGTATAAATGATATTTAAAAAATTAGTAAAGCGTGGACTTCCAGAATTTTATTGATTATTAGCATGTGATTAGGATGGTCAATTGGTAGGTTTTAGGTAGTGCCTCGAAAATGTTCTTAATTTCATATTTCCAAGCTCCAACATTATTGTTCCAAAATATTTTTTAATCAATAACTTGATTTCTTTTGCATCAGGTACAAATACAATTAAAAAAAAAAAAAATGTCTTCAAATTTTTTTTTATAATTTGTGTCGAGTGCAATTGTGACATTATCGCTATTGCACCTAGTACAATCAAACTTTTTTCCATTTTTTCTTTAACTACTGTAACTATGAAAAGATGTCCACCTTTAGATGGTATGGCCGTTCAAATCGAAATGATTGAAAGCCACGTGTCCTCTTCAAGTTTTATCTCACTTTTTTTTTTTTATAAAAAAGAAAATAAAATTAATTGTTGTTCTGCATAGAATCAGCATAACACATGGGTCACTTACAGTCATAAATAATGTCTTTTTCTTGATATAAAGTTAAAACCTCTCCGCCATTAAAGGGATGAGTAATTCTCATTTAAAACACCAATTAAATACCTAAACTACCCCATATAAAATTAAACTGAATGAAAAGGGAAAAATGAAAAGTGTAAAGTGTAATGATAATACTTACTTTAAACTTAATGAAAAGGAGCATTCAAAAAAAAAAAAAACTTAATGAAAAGGAAAAAATGTACTCTCTATGAGTTCCACTCTCACCAAATAGAGTAAAGGTGAATATATGAAAATTAAAGTGAGAAATACTATCTACAATTTAATTAAAATTAACTGCACAAACAACTCAACTCAGTTAGTAAATTGAAGGTGAGATTTCAAAATTAATCCCCGACAGTCACAATATGAGAGTTTCACATAATATGGTGGGTTGAGTATAAACACCAAGCCAAGCACTTGCCCTCTGAGTTTCACATATATCAGATCGGGTGAGGTACTTTGCCCTCTGAGGATGAGCGTGAATATAATCAAAACCGTTGGAACCTTTTTCATTTAATATAGCATTTGCCCATCCCAAGGCCTTAAATTGTGGTGCAAACATGTGACTACAAGAGGTCAGGTACACTTGAGACGTGACTATGAATAATTAACTGAGTTGCCAACCGTGCACACGCGTCAAGTGAGTATTCCATGCAAATATTTTACCCATTTCTTCATCTCCTGCCGTGGATAGAAGTGCAAAATTGTAGGGTTGCGAGTTGCGACTCGAGATTTGAAAATTGGGGTTTTGGTTACCGAGAGCACTTTGTCTTGTCTCAGTTTCAGTCCCCCCATAAATGAATATACCACTATACCATGCCAATAGAAACAGCTCAGTCGTAAGAAATCAATACTCCGTATATAATATATATTTTCTAATAGTGTCTGAGATAATACATCAACTGTTTCCAGGCGAATGATAATATGGAAAAAGTGTCGGTCGAAACATTGCCAGTACATATCAAAATCTAGCAAGCGATTGGAAAGAGGGAACATGACAACCACAATGCCAATACTTATCTACAGACTAAAAATTATGCTAATGCTAGAGCTCGGAAATAGCCCCCACCCCACGTAAAGAGAAACAGTCGGATAAAGAATACATGAAGAATATAATAATGCTCGCAAAATTTATAAGTACTCTAATTAAAACCTGTAACCAGATCCCTGCTGCGGTGGGGGTGCTGGGGCCATCCGATTAGGAGTTCGGCGGCCATTGGAATTTGATCGCGAACTCACATCGCCGTTTTGCATGCGCTCACTAGAGCCAGACCTAGAGAACGAACTAGGGCCATTTGCAGCGGCATCAAATGCACTTCTCCACTCGTCACCTGGGGAAGGTCCAGGGGTTCTTGGACTTTCTGCACACAATTAAAAACCAAGCAGTAAAGCATTAGGCAGTTCCAAGAGACTGGAGGCAGAAATAATGTGGAGATCAGAACCACCGGAAAGAGTATTAAGCCTCTAATATATATTTACCTGCTTCACCATTTGAGTAGCTGGAGGCAGCAGCAGCTGCAGCTGCTCGATTATCATGGATACTGAGTTGCCTGGTAAGTTTTGAAAGAAGAGAAGATTGTTTCTGAATGCGTTCCCTCCTGTGTTTTACATTATGATCCTCCTGGAGCAGCTCTTCAATCCTTGTTGAACTTTGGGCACTGCCATCCAACAAATAAATACAAACTTATATAATTTTGAAGTAGCAATAAAACCAACAAAAGCTCAGCTCAAGACAACCCCATCTGATCTGTTGTTTGTATAGATTCTCTCTCTCTCTCCCTTCAATTTTATCACTGCACAATTAAGCTTTTTTTTTTTTTGGGCAAATGCACAATTAAGCTAACCCTTGTATCTGTGAGTCTACACTTAGATGTTGCCAAACTATCTTAATAAAATCTCTTATTTTGTCCAATAAGGGCCAATTTGCCTTCTTCATTGAAACAAAAATGAGTCATTTTGTAGTGACAAAATTAGTAATACCTACTATTGGTTTCACTTCTACAATATTAAATAAACATAGGTAAGATAAATGACTTGCATCATGCAGAGCTTAGAGAGAGAAAATATAAACAATATCACATAATGGGAATCCTTTAGGAAAATTAGTACTGCATACCTGATAGAACTGTATAATTTATTAAGCATGTCTTCTTTGGCCTTTTCAACTTGGCAAAGAACAACTGCCTGAAAACTCAAGATAAATAGGCAAGTGTTAGATGGCTGTGCAAGAAAGAAATGAAGAGTCCTACAACAGAACAGTTGTTCCTTAGGTAGTACAGACTTTAGGGACATTTGCAGCAAGGCTGTTTAGAACTGCTTCAACGTATCCACGCACTTCCTGAGCCATCCACCGGAGTTCTTCTTCAGGATCTGCCGGTCTTCGAGTCATTGTTTCCTAAAATGATAGACATGCACCAAAATTCATAAGTTCTAATACTGTCAGAGATGCAAACAGCTCGAGACCAGATTAATTTGAAAACTGGAATGGCTAGAATACCAGGAAAGTAGAAGGATAATAGTTAAAGAACAACTAATTGGAGAATAAAAGAACTTAGATTTGAAAGAGCATTTAGAAATAACAGTAACACAGACAAGGAGGAAAGCAATTAAAA